CCTTAGTTCGGATAAGATAAAAGACAAGGAAGTAGAAATATGTCCCAGAGGAAGGAATTTACTACTTTTTCTTTTTTGTCTTTTTTTTTTTTAAATATTTTATTTATTTATTTGACAGAGACACAGCGCAAGAGAGTGAGCACAAGCAGGGGGAGTGGGAGGGGGAGTGGGAGGGGGAGTAGGAGGGGGAGTGGGAGACGGAGAAGCAGGCTTCCTGCTGAGCAGGGAGCCCCATGTGGGGTTCAATCCCTGAGGACCCTGGGACCGTGACCTGAGCTAAAGGCAGACACTTAACCAACGGAGCCACCCAGGCTTCTGCTCTTTTTTGCTTTTGACATGAAACCTACATGATCTTCGGCCATGCCATATACTCTTAGTGCACATCTTCTGTAGTGTCGGGGCCTCAGGGGAATAGTGGCTGCTGTGCCTCATACCTGTCATCATTAAATGTTCTTTTTTTTTTTTTTCCCAAAAGCACAGCTAGCTGTTCTTGTGACAGTATCACCAGTGGACCATATTTCTTAAAAACATTCACCAAGCTCCTCAGCGAAAATTGTTTATTCTGCTTAGAAGTTATGCATCAAGATCTTGCCTCTGCCCTGGACAGACTAATCTCTGTCATTATGACAATTTTCACATACTTATGCTTGGTGACAGGTCATAAATTTATGAAGCCAGCTGAGATATGGCTCAACAACCTGGTCTTTATCTTCTTTGGGGAGAAAGATGATATGAAACCATGTTACGTTGAAATTTTTGGAGCAATAGGTGACTCAATTTGAAATAAACATCAGTAAAGGACATAAAGATACCATGAAACATTTTCACCCAATTGTTTAATCTACCCTCTTAGTCTAAATCTGGACTATGGCATTATCTATTCTTTCTATTCAGTGAAGCCAGGCTCATACTTAGAATGGGATTAAAAACAAAAGACTTTTAGACTTGTATAATCCATATTTTTAGTGTTGTTATTAGGGAAATAATAATGATAATAAAAAAAACCATAGCATTTTTCTTTACTCTGAGGCTCCAGGAAAGGCATTAGATTCAAATGAATGGATAGCATTCTATCAATCTAGTCTCAGGATTGATATGGATGGCCAGTGAAACCCTGCAGTTTCAAATTGCTGCAAAGAATTTTACCATATATTGCAATTTTGATGAGTTACAGTAAATATCAAAAACTAATGACAAGCAAACAGATTTTTAAAAGAATCAGTTGCATCCTTTCATTCAATACAATCTAAGCAATTAACAATGTAATTTGTTCATAATACAAAAGTTTATTCATTAATTTATCATCTGTCAATTATGTATAGGGCACTGTATTAGGCACTAGAAATTTTCATTCATTCAACGAATAATTACTGAGTCCTTTTCTGTGCAGAATACTGTTTTGGAGCTGAGGAAACAGCAGGAAAACTCATGTGACATTCCTACCTTCATGGAACTTATATTCTAAGGGAGAAGAGGCAAAATAGGTAGGGCAAATAATTTATAGAGTATGCTTGAAAGTGTTAAGTACTAAAGAGAAAAAATATGTCAAGGAAGGGCTCTCAGAAAAGAAGATGTTTGAATAAAGACCAGGAAGAGGCTAGGGAATTAACCACGAGGGAGTCTAGGAGAAGAGCACACAAGGTGGAAGGAACAGTAAGTGAGAAGGGAACAACATGCTTAGCATTTTGTGGATGAGTAAGGAGGTAATGGTCCTTTAGTGAATGACTAAAGAGCAAGTAGTGGAAGATAAAGCCAGAGAGATAATGGGAATAGCTGATAGAGGGTCTTGAGGGTCATATGAAGGATTCTGCCATTTGCTCTGAGGAGACTGGGAACCAGCAGAGGGTTTTAGAAAGAGTACAGAGCTGATATGATTTATGATTTGGGAGGACCACTCTGACTGGTACAATGAGACTGGAACACAAAGGTGAATCAGATAGGGTCCTAATATCAATGAACTCACACTTCATTTGAGAGGCTAAGATGGATATAGGTTCACTGCAGTGAGGTAAGTGCTACTAGAGAATTCAGAGTGCGATGAGATTTTAGAGTTGTGGTCAGACCTCTGCTCACCTGTTTTCTTACTCCAATCTGGTTTCCACCTCAGTAATTCCACTGAGATGATTCTTGCTAAGAATGCTCATGACTTTTGTGTTGCCAAGTTTGTCAATGTCCTTCTTTTTATATCATCACCATACTTGATGTCTCAGTCACAGTTGTAACTTCTCATGTTGCCCTTCTTGAAATAATCTCTTCTCTTTCCTCCCGCTGCCATATATGGCCCATGTTTTCCTCTTGTCTTTACAGGCACTCACTTGATAAGCTTATTCTTCTCTCTCCTAGTTATTGGGTCCTCAAACTTCTATCCAGGGCTGTCACACTGAACTCCAAGAGGTCCATTTACAACATAGTCCAAGGGACCAGTGCTTTTTCAAGTTGAGTCATGCTACTTGGCATAGCATGTAATAAAGTAACTCATCTCTGTCTTGGTCTTTCGTCTGTTTTGGTTTTCTTTCTTTAAGCAATCTTAATTGTGCAAGAGGCTTCAACTAAGAATTATTTCTAAGTACATGTCTCCATCCCAGGCTACTTTGCTGTGTAACACACTCATGCAGTTGAGTGCTTGACACCCCCAGTTGGGTGTCCCAAATGTATTTCAAGTTGTCCCAAAGTGAACTCAAGGACTTCCCTTCATACATGGTCTTCTTCCCATGTTCCCTGATGAATGGATATACTAACATTCACCCAGTTATACAAGCCAGAACCCTTAGAATCCCCTCCAATAGGTCTACTTCTGTAGCCTCCAAGTCCAAATCCATTATCCAGTCTATTGATTTATTTCTTCAAGCCTTTGCCATAATCCAAGATACCTTCATCTCCTGCCCTTTCTTCCTCCAGGAATCCTTTCTTGGACCACAGCCATACATAGTTTTAAAACACTAATCAAGTCATGTTATCAACACCCACCTGTTTAAAATACTGTGATGGATTTCCCTTTTTACTTAGAAAAGAATGGTCATAAACTTTAAGTCTCCATGTGTTATAATTTTGTCCTTGTCTACCTCTCCAAAGTATCTTGCTCTAATGCTTTCCTGGATCACTTTGCATTCTTACTACTACTGGCCATTTAAAAGGTATCTGAGCAGGACTGTTACACATATGAGCCTTCCACCTAAGATGCTGAGGTAGATAGTGTCATTTATTTATCTATATCTTTTTCTGAACAAATAACCACTGAGACACACAAAGTATCCAGAAATATCTGGAACTTAGCATTTCCAGCAAAACTACCACTGTGGAGTTTATGTGGAGTATTTTAAAATTTAATCAGATTTGAAAAAATTCTGGACAAGAATTAGAATCTGATATATTTATATTTAAAGATTTTATTTATTTGAGAGAGAAAGAGAGAATGCACGTGTGCACGTGTGTGCACATGCACAAGCTGGGGGAAGGGCAAAGGGAAGAGAGAGAAGCAGATTCCCTGCTGAACAGGAAGCCATTTGGGGGACTCTGGGATAATGACCTGAGCCGAAGGCAGATGCTTAACCAACTGAGCTACCCCTAGAATCTGATATATTTAGGGAGTTGTGTGGAAGGTCCACAGGGACTGCTTGGGTTCTTACCCTCTGAATGGCCATGTTCTAAGTGTGTTTTTCTGGACAGCGTACACAAGCTCTCCATGCTTCCTTCTCTTCCATAAACAAAATTTCAGTGAACATTAAAAAATGAGAAAAACAAGTAATAAAGAACAAACATATATCTGATTAGCTCTCATCAGATATTAGTTCTGTGGCCCTGCACTTCTGGTAAAATAATAAAAAAAATTTTTGATTTAATTTCCCTTTCATCAAATATCCTCACTGTCTAAGGCACTGCTTCTTTGGTTTTAGACCTGATATACTGTTTTTCTATAAAGACTTTCTCTGCCTGCATGCATGTGGTGAGCTTAAATGTAACAGAGTGTACTCAAAATAACACGATCCAATAGGAAAAACCAGACAGGATTCTACTTCCCAACAATGAGGAAAAGAAGACATAACACCACCACCTGCAATTAGAAAAGTGGTCTGAGCCACAATGAGGTATTTGAGTCTCCCACAACGTTTTGGCATTGGTAGGGATAGCTCTCAAGGCAAACAAAAGCTTAATAGCTATTCTTTTCCAGCTGTTTCCCTTGGGCCAGATGTCTGAGTAGCCCAAACTACTTAGCTGCATATTAGTGCCACACAAACTACAGGCTGTTGCTTGTTGGGAGAGCTGTTAACTTCTGGAGAATGTTGCACTGAATGTTATTACGGTTTGAATGAAAATAAACTTGCTAAGTGGCTTGTGTATTAGTGCTGGTACAAGGTAATCCTTGTCTAATGGAAACAAAAACACACTATTTCCCTTCCACCTGACCTGAGGGACACTCTAAGGCTTTAGTACACCAACACTCTCTGCTGTTTCTGTTTCCTGGCTGGTTTTCACAGTTCTGTTGGTTGCCTGCACATTAGAGTATATATGCCAAACCCCTCCATCAAAGCTGACTCATAAAATGGAAAGAATTCTTGGAAACCTGTTAGGTGTGTATGCTTATTGAGAATATTGTGTACTCGCTTTGGTAGCACCTATTCTAAAATTGGAATAAAACAGAGAGGATTAGCATGGCCCCTGGGCAAGGGTGACACAGACATTTGTAGGGATATTGTTATTACAGTGAACAATTATATACTGCTCTACAGGCTATAAATAATAGCATTCAGTGCACGTCTTGGCTTTGGACTATGCTTTAGATTTAGTGCTTAGTTCCCTACATACTGTATCTGCAGGCTATATCTACAGGCCACATCTCACATCTGGCCCATTTGCATGCATGTTTTCTCATTGGTTCCTCATACTTATTGCAAGAGGCAGTTATGTTTGCTATCTTCATTTCCTTGAAGGGGAAAGTGACAAGAGGTGGGTTCTGAATTTACTGATTGGTGGTGATGCTGGGATTTATCCTTCAGGGCTATCCCTCCCCCTCCATAGGCCAAGATTTTTCTGTCATTTCTTGTTTGGATCAATACGGATTGCCTCCTCTGTGGCAACAACTGACAAGCAGAGGAATGAAGGTTTTGGTGCTGGGATTGGCAGAGAGAAGGGGGAACATTTACGAGTTCAGTTCATAGCTGAGGGGCCTGAGGAAGCAGCCTGGCTTTGAGGAGGTTCTTATGATGAACACCTTCTCCCTTCCCAATGTGCTTGCATTTGCCATAGTGAGCAGTTCCTGTCATTTTCACCTAAGATATCTTTGAATTCTTCTCAATAAGCTATCTGCACACACTGATGCCATACAACTAGTCACTCTTCAAAAGAGAAAAGTGCAACACTCATAACTTTAAAACAAAATTATTCCTGAGAATAATGAGAATTCCTACTGAGTTGTAGGAAGCATTTATTTTATTTTTAACAAGAAAAGTGGCATTTCACTGGGATGCCTGGGTGGCTGAGTAGGTTAAGCATCTGCCTTCAGCTCAGGTCATGAATCCTGCGGTCCTGGGATTGAGGCCCTGTGTTGGACTTCCTGCTCAGCGGGGAGTCTGCTTCTCCCTCTCCCTTTGCCTTCCCCCCACTCATGTTCTCTCTCTCTCTCAAATAATGAAATAAAATCTTTAAAAAAATGTTTAAAATAAAAAAAAGAAAGAAAATTGGCATTTCACAAGAAAGGGAGAGCTGACGTGTGTGTGCACATGTGCGTGCATGCACATATACACATATATGAGTGTTCTGTTAATTATGTATTGTTTTTACTTAATAACTTTACTTAATTATAAAAAATGATCTTGCAAAGATCCATGCACTATCAACATTTTATAGAAAACTTCAGAAAATTTAATTAACATATACAACAAGCATTTTGTTTGCTTTCTTCCACCTTTTCTGTTTTCTTCCTTGAAAGATGACATCATCTTCTTCCTTAATGATCAATTGTAGCATAAAATAAGAACGCGGTCTCTATCTACATAATTTAGAGAAATATATTAGAGTGGTTAAACTGAAACATGATTCTGTGTTTTACGTGGATATTAAGGTATTCAGAGCCTTAGGAAAAGAGATAAAGAGGGAAAATAGGATCAGGACAGAATAGTACTTACTAACAAATTTTTGAAAAATACAAAAAATGCACAAATGTATTAAAATCAATAGATGTGTTTTAATTAGAAGTGTCATATTTCAAGAAGTCTTAATACAGCTATTCCATTTCTCATTAAATAACTCTAAAGCCCTTCTAGGTCCAGATGAGTGAGAGAGCATAAGGAAAAATCTTCCTTATCACTTCCAAACAAAAAAGGAAGGGTAGATAAAAAATGTATTTTTATGTTAAATAAAATACACAGACCTGCCTTAAAAAGGGAAGGGGAAATCTCCACTAATATCCACAAATAAATAGAAAATAACCTTAAATATCTATGAGAGGGGGAAGAAGGCAGATTTTCCACAAAGTAAGAGCAATTAGATTGACAATGCGCTTTTCATCATTAAAAATAAGTAAGGTCTAGGGAGGAGTAGGAGACCTGGATTTCGTCTCCTCTCAGGAATTCAGCTGGATAGGGATCAAACCATTCTGAACAAGTACAAACTCAACAGGAGATCGAAGAAAAGAAGAGCAACAAC